CTGGGCGCTTTTGGGAGGCCAATCGCGGGGTTCGCGAAGCCTCTTAACGCATCCGCCCAAGCCTCCGCCACATCCTCAACCGGCTCCGTTTCCTACCCCGCGTGTACCCGCATTCGCCCTGCATCCTCTCCCACGTGGCCCGACACTTCGAGTAGGAAATCAATACAGAAGTGATTTACCCCAAATGATTTGTTCGTCGAATCGCCGAAGGAATACGTAGCAGTCCACGAACGTTTCACTTGCTCCTTTCCAGATGCGACGAAAATTCAATTTCGGGGTAGATCAATTCTGTAGTTGACCCCCTACTCGAACACTGTCCAATCCAGTCTTCCCTTCCTCTGGACCTCCTGAAAGCAGAGAGGCGGATGCGCGGCACCTCGATGGGGCCATGGAGGCCATACTTGCAGTTGTTGAGGTAGTCGGCGGAGCTGTGCTCCTCGTGGCTGGCCGGCACTCAGCCGATGCCGATCCCTCACGCAGTGCTTGCAAGGAGGACGAGGAGGAGGCGACACCCCGTCTGCAGTTCTCGGGCGTTGGCAGCGCTGGGTTTGGTGGGACCTTGTCTAGTGATGTGCACTGGGGGACGCCCCTCCCGCCCCGTTCCACTGACCGGAACTGCCGTCGCCCGAAGAACACCAGCTACGGCAGACCTGGCTTCGCGATTCTGGCCAATTTGGGGGCTCCGGGGCCCTACTACTAACCGGGTCCCTTTACCCGGGGTCCTCTGGCTATAGCCGAAGTTCGTCGCGCCCAAGTCATCATGTTCTCCGGTCCAGGCGGGCAGCACGTGCGCGCACGCTCGCTCAAGTGCATGTGCTGGGAGCCGATGCCGCTGTGACCGCTGCTGAGGGCCCACGCTGAGCATCATCCTGCGCCACCAGCACAAGAATGGGAGGCACCAGAAGGTACCGATACCAGAACTCCCTGGACCTCTCCTGGGGCACGTTCTGACCAGGATTTCGAGGTGAATCCAGCGGTAGCGATGAGGGCCTCCCAGGAGGCCCATAAAGGGGAAACCGAGGCAAGAATAATCATGGGTACCTTTCCCAGAAGAAGAGAGAACGGCAGAAACATAAACTTTTGGCGCTCCGCGTGGATTTCTTGGATCTGCGCTGGACATCCCTCCCTGGCGCGCGGAGCGTGCCAGGGGCGGTGCTGGAGGCGCCGCCGGGGGGGGCCAGCGCGGATCCAAGACATGCGCGCGGAGCGCCAAAAATTAATGTTTGTTGCGCCTTTTCTTTTCGATTTGCCTCCACGAGCAGGAGACGACGCCGCCACGAATGCGTGCAGCGCAGCAGCCACAAGAGGCAGCGGGGCTGCCCAGCGCGGAGGCCGCCAAGCGGGCGGCCGCGGGCGCTGCCTGCCAGGCGCCGGGCGCGCCGGGCAGCCAAAGGGCCGACTGCCTGCCAGACCAACCCAACCCAACCCGAAGACTCGAACTTTCGGGTTGGGGGGGGGGCACGCGCTTCATATGTTCGGGGGCGCGCAAACATGGATTAGCGATCAATGGATTTGGCGCGCGGTCGCCAAATCCATGGATCGGGGAGGTGCCCTCCCCAAAATGCCTCCGTTGCCGCCTCTTCGGCGGCGGAAATACGCGATTTCCCATGGAAACGGGACCCGTCGCTAATCCACGCCCCCTTGATCCATGTTTGCGATCGTCTGAGAAGGGGGGCGCGCGCTTCTTATCTGCTTTTGTCACCGTTCCCCGACCCCTTCCGACACTGGAAGTGGAGGGCAGATCGGGGCCTTCGGGTCGGGTCGGGATGGTTCGGTGGGCAGTGCAGGGCCAGGGCGGTGCGCTGTTCCTCGCAGTTCGCGGCTAGCTACGCCAGGCCTCGCGAGGCCTGGTCTGCGCACGTCCCTGGCCGCGCGTGCGCGCGACGGCGGGCTCAGGTCGCGTGGCCTCCTAGGAGTCTCCGAGCTGTTCCTCTGGCGGCTGCTCCCACTGGGCCTCGCCAGTTGCATCGCAGACGTAGTCCGCCACCGTGCACTGAGGCACTGAGTCAGAGTGACCTCCAAGTCGTTCCACGTGGGCTATCGTCACGATTCTTCAGGGGCCCACAGCCCAGATCAGCGGATCTCCAGGGCGTAGCCGGGCGGTTCTGGGTTCCGTTCCGGGGGCGAAGAGGACACCCAGACAGGCCTAGAGGGCCCCAAGAGGACCCCAAGACGGCCCAATATGGCACCAAGTCGCCCAAAGATCGCTCCACGACGCCTCAGAAGATGGCCCACAGGCAGCCCAAGAGGCCCCCAAGACGCCCCCAAGAAGGTTCCAAGACGCCTCCCCAGAAGGCCCCGAGATGCCCAAATCAGTGATTTTCCAGAGAAAGGTGTTTGAAGGAGTTGAGTGTTCTCACCTTTTCGGGCTTTCGACGATCCAAGACGGCCCAAGAGGGCCCCAAAGATCGCCCCAAGACGGCCCAAGAGGTCTACAAGAGCTCCACCAGACGGCCCAAGATGGACCCAAGACGGCTCAAGATGCCCCCAAGACGGCCCAATAGGGCCCCAAGAAGGGCCCAAGAGAGGCCCCAGAGGGGGAGCACGAACCCACATGTCGAGCCCTTCGTCCCAAGATGCGTTCCGAGACTGCCAGCAGGCCCGCAAGAGGCCCCCACAAGCTCCAGGAGGTCGCAAGAGTCCCAAATCAGGGACCAAGAGGCTCCCAAGACACCACCGAGAGGCCCCCTATGATACCCCAAGACCGAACCCCAAGAGGCTTTCCAGAGGCCTCCCAAAGATCCCCACAGGCATCTCAGAGGCCTCCGACCTACAACCCAGGCACGGTGGCGGGATGGGCCGAAGGCCACTAGATCCGCCGCCCCCTGTTGATTCATCACAGGGGTGCCTGGCGTGCCAGACTATTACGGTTTTGGTTTTGGTTCTTTTATCAAAAGAACTCCCCCTGGGGCTCCGGCGCGTCCCGCCGGGGTCCCGGGAGGATTGCCAAGGACCTCAATTCCCTACTTTCCTGCCCAAGACGGCTCCAAGATGGCCTCCAAGATGCCTCCAAGACGGCCAGGATGGCCTCCAAGACGGCTAAAATGGCTTTACGATGCCTCCAAGACGGCTAAGATGGCCCCAAGATGACTCCAAGACGGCCCAAGACAGTCTACGACGGCCCAACAGGCCCGCAAGAGGCCTCCAAGACGGCCCAAGAGCCCTCCGAGATGAGACGTCCTCCAGGAAGGCCCGCAAGGGCCAAAATCCTTGATTGTCCTTAGGTTTTTAAAAGGTTTTGGCATTTGCGCCTTTTCGGCTTTCCGACGGCCCAAGACGGCCCAAGAGGCCCCCAAGATCGCCCAAGAGGCCCCCCAAAGGGCCCCATGACTGCCCAAGTGGCCTCCAAGACGGCCCCAAGAGGGCCCCAAGACGGCCCACGAGGCCTCCAACACGCCCAAGATGGCCTCCAAGACGCCCAAGATGGCCTCCAAGACGGCCCCGAATCGCCCCAAGAGGGCCCCAAGTCGGCTCAGAAAGGCCCCCAAGACGGCTCCCGACGGCGTCAGACGTGCCAGGAACCCACCAAGATGGCCGAAGTTGGATCGAAGCTGGCCCAAGACGGCCCAAGAGGCCTCCAAGAGGGCCTCCAGGAAGGCCAGAAGAGGCCCAACACCTTGATTTTCCTAAGGTTTTTGACGGATTTTGACATTTGCTTCTTTTCGGCCTTCCGACGGCCCGAGACGGCCCAAGAGCCCCCAAAGATCGCCGAAAGATCCAAGACGGCCCCAGAACGGCCCAAGAGGGCCCCAAGACGGCCCCAAGAGGCCCCCAAGACGGCACAGGAGGCCTTTCAGACGCCCAAGATGAGCCTCCAAGACGGCCCTGGAGCATTCCAAGAGGGCCCCAAATCGGCCCATAGAGGCCCCCCAAACGGCTTCCGACGGCGTCAGACGGACCAGGAGTCCACCAAGACGGCCGAACATGGCCCTAAGATGACCCCAGACAGCCCAAGAGGCCTCCAAGAGGGCCTCCAGGAAGGCCAGAAAAGGCAAAAAATATTGATGTCCCATGGGTTTTTGAAGGATTGTGGCATTTGCTTCTTTTCTGCCTTCCGACGGCCCGAGACGGCCCAATTGCCCCCAAAGATCGTCCAAAGAGGCCCAAGACACGGCCCCAAGGGGCCCCCAAGACTGCCCAAGAAGTTCTCAAGACGCTCAAGATGGCCTCCAAGACGGCCCACGAGCCCTCCAAGACATCCTCCAAGAAGGCCCGAAAGATTCAAAATGGCCCCCAGACGGCCAAGATGACCTTCAAGATGCCCACGTGTTCCCCGAAGGCTTTCCAAACCCATTCGGGGAAAAACTGGTCCGATAGCTTGGCAGGTCTGGCCTCAACGTTCGGCCACATAGGCGCTTCCAAAAAGGCAGGGGGCGGCGGTGATTCGCCGTAGGCGTCTTCGATCCGCCGCCCCCTGTCGATTCATCGCAGGGGTGCCTGGCGTGCCAGACCCTCTCGGTTTTGGTTTTGGTTCTTTTTCCAAAAGAACTCTCCCAATGGGTTTCGGCCCGTCCCGCCGGGGTACCCGGAGGCCTGCCCAGGAGCACAAACTCCACGAACAATCCTCCCTGAAACAGCCGTTTCGCTCGGGACATCCTCAACAAATCGCGAAGATGGCCCAAGATGGCCTCCAAGTCCGCCCAAGATGGTCCAAGACGGCCTCCAAGACTGCCCAAGAGAGTCCAAGACGGCCCAAGACGGCCCAAGAGGCCCCCCAGAGGCCTCCCAGAGACGGCCCAAGAGGCCTGCAAGAGGTCCTCCGGGAGGCCCGAAGAGGCCAAATCATTGATTTTCCGTAGGTGTTGAAGGATTTTGGAATTTGCTTCTTCTTGGCATTCCGACGGCTCAAGACGGCCCAAGAGGCCCCCAAGATCGCCCAAGAGGCCCCCAAGAGGGCCCCATGACGGCCCAAGTGGCCTCCAAGACTGCCCCAAGAGGGCCCCAAGACGACCCAAGAGGCCTCCAACACGCCCAAGATGGCCTCCAAGACGCCCAAGATGGCCTCCAAGACGGCCCCGAAGCGCCCCAAGAGGGTCCCAAGTCGGCTCAGAAAGGCCCCCAAGACGGCTCCCGACGGCGTCAGACGTGCGAGGAACCCACCAAGATGGCCGAAGTTGGATCGAAGCTGGCCCAAGACGGCCCAAGACGGCCCCCAAGAGGCCCTCCAGGAAGGCCAAAAGAGGCCAAAAACCTTGATTGTCCTCAGGTTTTTGACGGAATTTGACATTTCCTTCTTTTCGGCCTTCCGACTGCCCGAGACGGCCCAAGAGCCCCCAAAGATCGCCGAAAGATCGCCCAAGAGGCCTCCAAGACGGCCAAGATGACCTTCAAGATGCCCATGTGTTCCCCGAAGGCTTTCCAAACCCATTCGGGGAACACATGGTCCGATGGCTTGGCAGGTCTGGCCTCAACGTTCGGCCACATAGGCACTTCCAAAAAGGCAAGAGGCGGCGGTGGTTCGCCGTAGGCGTGTTCGATCCGCCGCCCCCTGTTGATTCATCACAGGGGTGCCTGGCGTGCTAGACCCTCTCGGTTTTGGTTTTGGTTTTGGTCTCCCCCTGGGCCTTCGGCGCGTCCCGCCGGGGTCACGGGAGGCTCTTCCGGAGGTGGTTGCGGTGGTTTTTTCCTGCCCCAGACGGCTCCAAGATGGCCCAGGATGGCTTCCAAGATGCTTCCAAGACGGCCAAGATGGCCTCCGAGACGGCTCAGATGGCCCCAAGATGCCTCCAAGACGGCCCAAGATGTACCCAAAACGGCCCAAGATGGCCTCAAGATGGCCCAAAACAGCCCAAGAGACCCCCAAGAGGCCTCCCAGAGACGGCCCAAGAGGCCTCCAAGAGGTCCTCCAGGAAGGCCCGAAGAGGCCAAAATCATTGATTTTCCTAAGGTTTTTGAAGGATTGTGGGCGTGCGCCTTTTCGGCTTTCCGACGGCACGAGACGACCCAAGAGACCCCAAGATCGCCCCAAGGTCGCCCAAGAGGCCTCCAAGATGGCCCCGTGACGGCCCAAGGGACCCCCAAGACGGCCCCAAGAGGACCCCAAGACGGCCCAAGAGGCCTCCAGGACGCCCAAGATGGGTTCCAAGACGGCCGAGATGGCCTCCAAGATGCCTCAAAGACGGCCACGATGGCCTCCAAGACGGCTAAGATGGCCCCAAGATGCCTCCAAGACGGCCCAATATGCACCCAAGACGGCCTTAGATGGGCCCAAAAAGCTCCCAAGAGGCCTCCAAGAAGGCCCAAGAGGCCTCCAAGAGGTCCCCCAGGAAGGCCCGACGATGCCAAAATCATTGATTTCTGTAAGGTTTTTGAAAGATTTTGGCATTTGCGCCGTTTTCGGCTTTCTGACGGCCCAAGACGGCCCAAGAGGCTCCCAAGATCGCCCCAAGATCGCCCAAAGGGCCCCAAAGAGGGCCCCGTGACGGCCCAAGGGACCCCCAAGACGGCCCCAAGAGGACCCCAAGACGGCCCAAGACGCCCAAGATGGCCCCCAAGACGGCCCCAAGAGGGCCCCAAGACGGCCCGAGATGGCCTCCAAGACGCCCAAGACGGCCTCCAAGACGGCCCCGAAGCGCCCCAAGAGGGCCCCAAGTCGGCCCAGAAAGTCCCCAAAGACGGCTCCCGACGGCGTCAGACGTGCCAGGAACCCACCAAGATTGCCGAAGTTGGCTCGAAGCTGGCCCAAGACGACCCAAGAGGCCCCCAAGAGGGCCCCCAGGAAGGCCAGAAAAGGCCAAAATCATTAATTTTCTGTACGTTTTTGAAGGGTTTTGGAGTTTGCACCTTTTCGGCCTTCCGACTGCGCGAGACGGCCCAAGAGCCCCCAAAGATCGCCCCAAGATCGCCCAAGAAGCCTCCAAGATGGCCCCATGACGGCCTAAGAGGGCCCCAAGACGGCCCCAAGGGGCCCCCAAGCTGGCCAAGGAGACCTCCAAGACGCCCAAGATGGCCTCCAAGACGGCCCCGAAGCGCCCCAAGAGGACCCCAAGTCGG